CGTGTGTGACCCGCGGTGACTCGCGTCCGCGGGGTTGGCTGAGGACTGTGACTTGAGCTGAGGCAGAATCGGCGGAGACCTCCCCGCGCGAGTGTCGCGCTCCCGCAGCCCTCGGCGGTCAACACCAGCTTTTACACTGGGTACCCGTGATATTTCAGTCATGGCCTAGTCATTTTACACGATTATTTCCATGTTTGACTTCTTGTTGCTGCATAGTGCGTTTTTGGGCACCAGGCTTTTCCCGTGCGGAACAGTGCGCTCCAGACTATGATACCACCGAGCAGCTCGCTCAGTCGCTTACTCAGAAGTTGTGGCGGACTGTTGAGGAAACTTACCAAAGAGGGAAGGCCAGACGGATAAAGGGGCAATGATACTGCAGGGCAGTAAGTTTTATCTCCGAGGCAGGTATTGGGTGATACGGCAGCGCCTCGTTAGGGGTCCGGGGGAGACAGGGAAGGCTTGGTGAAGGAACCGTGCGCAGGCTGACTCCGAAGGAGCCCGCAGGAGGGCACCTGGGCCTGGGGGCAGGTTGTTCACAGGCTGAGCGTCGTGAGCAGCATAGAAACTGCAAGTGGTCGATTAGAGGGAAGGATGCCTGTGGAGAGGCGCGAGAGGACTGAAGTAGGAGGCGGCATCTGGATAGCAAAGGGTCTTGCGTATCAATCTGAAGAGTTAGACTTTTAGCAGTGACGATAGGAAACCATTAGTAAATGTTTATGTATCAGCCCCTTTGCTTGTTTTAGGTAAACTTATCCAGATTTGTCAGGAGCAACACAACTTTTCTACATGCGTATATCAAGAAGGGTATAACACTGTGCACCTTTAAAAAGAAATATCAAATGAGAGGCAGTTGGTGGTGTGGGCGGAGGATGGCTTTTGGAGTCAGATCAAGGTTCCATTAAATGCTGGCACAGGGATGGAAGTTATCAGAAAAAATGGGGTGACGAGTCAGAGGAGAGAGAAGGGGATCACCAGCATTTTACTTAGGTGGTCGCTCTTCAGTGATTGGCAGCAAGAGGATGTATAGCCTCCCCTGGGCACACGTGGACTCTTAAGAGTTGTAAAGGAGCCCGCAGTCCATAATTCCAGCCCTTGGTTAAGTGAGTCCCTGGTTTAAATGATGAAAAGGTGTATCTGCGCGCTTTGTGGCTCCAACCGTGGCTGATGCATGGCCCTGCCCTTGTTCTACACTGTGTGTAAGCGCCAAGGGCATGTTACAAGTCCCTGCCATCATTGTCTCCTGCCCACCTTGCAGGCCACAGAGGGCCTGGCCAAAGTTGATGACTCCCACAAAGCAAGCTGGGCATATTGCTAGGATTTCAGGCCACCCCAAAGCATTCCATATCTTTATTCTCTTACCAGATTAACCCACTTCCTCTTTGGGGTAAGATGAGTACGTATCCCAGAAGGGCCACAGAGTAAATATAGAGAGAAGGGCCTGCCTCCGCAAATAGCCTTTAGAACCTTCTTGTAGAACGTCTAGACTTGAACTTTAGTTGTGGGGTTTTTTTCCTGTCATGTTACGCTGTAGGCCTGATTTTTTAGCTCTCTGACTCTTCAGCTCTAACTTTCAGATTTGTTTCCATGTGTTGATTATGTCTTCTCACCTTTAGGATAACATGATTCAGGAGATGTAATTCAGCTCAATCCAAGCTTAGCAATTGTACAACGGGTATTTTTTTTTTAATGTTTATTTTATTTTATATACATATTTTTATTGATTTCAAAGAGAGGAAAGGAGAGGGAGAGAGAGAGATAGAAACATCAATGATGAGAGAGTCATTGATCGGCTGCCTCCTGCACGCCCCCAACTGGGGATCGAGCCCACAACCTGGGCATGTGCCCTGACCGGGAATCGAACCCTGATCGCCTGGATCCTAGTTCGACACTTAACCGCTAAGCCACACCCGGCCGGGCTCAACGGGTATTTTTTTTTAATATTAGTGTGTGAAGCTTGTGAGAAAGGGGAAAGACTTTTACCCCTAAAATCCCTTGCTCCGTGGTTTCTTAACTATGGGTTTTCATCACTTATCTGGCGAGGGAGGTGTTTAGGTTTTGAGGGTTCTAAGCCAGCTAATAAAGTCATGAAATCGACTACAGTGTCAATGTTGTGCTTCTGGGTGGTCGTGTCCTTCAACACACTTAAGACGCTCAACCAGCTGAAAGAGATAAGCTCAGAGATGTTGGCTCGGAGGAAAAGAAGGATCACGTTGAGGTCATTGATGGGGCAGCCCAGCATCTTTCTGCTGAGCAGGTCAAACGCCGGGAGCATCTCATAGATGGACAGGAGTCGCTTGTCCCACCGACATAGCCGCGTGAGGCTGTAGATGATCACTGGAACCAGTAGGGTGTATATTGCTATAGTGGAGAGACTAACAATCTGGAAAACAGACAGGGAGGTCAGCCTGCATGTGATGAGATCGGGGATGTGGGTCTCATCACTTAGCAGTTCTGTCTTGACAGAACAGCTGAATTCCTTTTGGAAGAAGACATCCAGGTGGAAGTGGCCGAGGTACAGGTAGGTGGCCGAGGTGAAGAGTAGCAAGAGGGAGTTCCTCAGGAGGTAGGTGGCCACCAGTGAATGTGAGCGCTGCTTACATGCCAGGTACTGCTCCAGCAGGGCGAATTCAAAGTATCGCTCCCTCCGAGCCCTGGGCAGGGGAAGAAGGGAGGCAGGGTTAGGAGGGACCACTTAGAACCGTATCCCGAGGGAGCCATGTGGGCAAGTAACAGAATCTGTGTATCCAACGTGGCATTCTCGGCTCATGAAAACCTGCCTCCTCTGTGCATAACCACCCCTCCTCCCACAAGGAGGTTAGTAAGTACATGTAATTCTCTAAGCAGCCAGTGCAATGCGGTAAACCCAGTGGTCAATGAGTAATACATTGTCACACTGGATTTCTGCCGACCTCTAAGCAGACATAGGATCCTCAGGAAGAATGAGACGTACTAGATTAGCACTGGACTGGGAGTCTAAATAAGCATATTCTGGTTCTTGGTCTGTATACTCTGATTTTTAGGCCAGTCCATATAGTTTATAGAAATAAATGTGCTCACAAGTACTTGAGGGCTGTGGTATTCAGGTACATGTAAGCCAGTCTCTGTTCTGAAGAAGCTTACAGTCTGGCTTGTGGGGGAGAGGCATATAAGATACACAGACATGAACTAAAAATAGCGCTTGCCCTGGCTTGTGCGGCTCAGTTGGTTAGAGTGTTGGCCTGTGCACCAAAAAGGGTCAGGGCACATACCCAGGTTTCGGGCATATGGGAGGCAACCCTCACATCACTGTCTCTCCCTCCTCCCCTCCCTCTCTCTGAAATCAATAAAGAACATATTTGTGGGTGAGGGTTTAAAAAAAAAAATAGCCCTGGATTTGTTGTTAAAATGATGAATACAAGCCATGATCATTGCAAATTAGGAGAGAGGGTAACAGTCTGGGCGGAGTGTTGAGAAACCCTTATGGAGGATATTTTCTTGGACTTGGCCTCCAGAAGGCAAATAGGGTTTAAAAACAGTATGTGCGCAAACACAAGACAGAATGTGGCTTCAGATCTCAGCTCACCTGCCCTCTTTGTGTGGCCCACCCTGGCCCTTCTATTTAAAACTGTACCTCTCCGCAACCTCCCAGCTTCCCTGACCACTCCACACGTACGTTGCTCTATTGGTTTTTCTTCATACCACTCATTTCCTACCATGTTATTTACTTGTGTTATGAGTCTTCACTGTTAGTTTTCCCTTGGTAGGATATAAGCCCCCATGGGTAGGTGGAGCTTTGCCCCCTCCCGCCTCTGCCTCCAGCACACGCACAGACACACAGCTCTAAAGCACTGGGACAGGGCCTGCTACTCTTAAATGATGGGGGGACGCTGAAGTGGGTGAGTAACTTGTTTAGGAGGAAAGGAGACTGCCTAGACAGAGTGGAAAAACTCTGTCACTGGGTAGTTAGAAGTTGAAAAAGTAGTTGGTGACAGTGTATGTAGAGGGCCTTGGAAAAATATTTGGGAGACTGTGGATATTTTTCTATTTGCATGAGGGGCGCTATTGGAGGTTTCTGAGCAGGAGAGTGGTAAGTGAAAGTATTTAGAGTGAGTGATCCCTTTGTGACTGTGCTCCTCTGTAAACCGGAGGCAGAGTCCTTTCCCTTCCGTGTCCTACACAGATGGGAAGTTAATGAGAGGATGTGTTCACCACTTTGCACTGTGGAGAAGGGCAGAGGATAGTTTAAACATTACTCTGCACGGATGTCACCTTAATGCTTGACGGAGCCCTTGAGAAAGGAGTGGAAGCGACAACTCACTTTTCCAGCTCGTCCCAGAACACATGGGGGTCCGAGCTCTTGTGCCGGATCTTCACCATGTGCTGCACCAGTCGGACGGAGCGGTTGTAGGACTTGTCCAGCTCGCTGATGATGAACAGCAGGTCGGCGCTGAGGGCCGGCGCCGCTGCGTACTGCCACAGCAGAACTGGCAGGTACATGGCCAGGGCCAGGGCCAGCAGGGAGTACGGGAGGGCCTGCGGGTGAGAGGGAGCTGAGGCGCGAGGCCCAGGCTGCCGGACCGTATGGAGAGGGTTCCGAGTGAGGGGCTCCCGCCTCGGAACGGGACTGAGCTACCACAGGCCCAGCACCTAAGGCTGTCTGTTGATCTGGCTGAATATAGTGAGGCCCAGGAGAGAAGGGACAGTAAATCCCCATGCTCCCCAGCTCC